GTATTAGGCCTCTTTTGCATTTATAGTCCATCGGCATGTACATTAATCCAATCTAGGTAACCTGCTCACTTCAGTTGGTCTGCGGCAACCATGCTTGTCTTATGAAGCAACTTCCGGGACCATGTGGTCAGACTAGCTGAGTTGGTTGAAGCATGTCATCGTATCGCATTTGAGTAGGTCGATGCTGATGATGTCAATCACTGGATTGTCAGGCCAAGACTTGAATATGCATAAACCGCCGTCATACAGCTGTCATGTTGCTGAGTGCAGCCTTAAACAACAAACAAACAGTATTTATATAGCAATATCAGCTACTATCAATCATATATTAAACAGTCACATCGAACATCAAGCTGAGATTTCTAGGGACTTGGTATAACCCAGAATCCCCAAAGGGGGTGTAGAGTGAAGGGTTGGTTGGTTGGTTGGTTGGTTTGTTGTTTAACGCCGCTCTCAGCAACATTCCAGCCATATGACGGCGGTAAATAAATCGAGTCTGGACCAGACAATCCAGTGATTTTTGTCATGTGCATCGATCCACGCAATTGGAATCGATGACATGCATCAACCAAGTCAGCGAGCCTGACGACCCGATCCCGTTAGTCACCTTTTACGACAAGCATAGTCGCCTTTTATGGCAAGCATGGGTTGCTGAAGACCTATTCTACCCCGGAATCTTCACGGGTCGTAGAGTGAAGGGACGGTGGGAGGTTGGGGGTAGCGGTTAAAGGTGTGTGATTGGCTCACTTAAAAACAATGACACCGGGTGTTCGTGAAGAGGGTAAACATGCCCTGCCCTCCTCGTAGCACCCGCAACTCACCCAATTCGCATAAAAAAGTATGGCAAATCCTATATGTCATGAAAACAATAATAATTATCATTTATTTACTGCTCGTGTCCATGAGAATATAATATTTCTTTTGTTAAGGAATTCACGTTGATGCCAAATCGATGACTGGTTAACTAGTTAATACAGATCGTTAGACTTGAGGGGCAAAATAAACTGGATTATTCATCGTTATGTGGTAATTATTTCGACATACTTAATCAACCATGGCGGTTGTTGTATATAATCAATCAAATGTAATTGGATATAATATATTTATTGACAACGTCTTAAGAAGGCTGTCCCTGGTAGCCATAAACTCGTACGAAATTATGCATGTCTGTCAGTCGTACCCGGAATATTAGTGATGACTTAACACGGCTGCGTTTGCAAACGTGGCCTGTGGAGAGGAACAACGAGAACGGAGGTGTTCAAACGATGTGATAAGAGTCAGCGATGCAGGGCAGTTTCGCGTTTTCCGTGTAGTTCGCTTGCTTCGGCCACAGAGGTGCAAGGTTATCCGTGAAGTTTCACTGCTTAAGCCCTGTACAGCAAAGAAACATCGCGTTATCCGAGTAGTTTCACTGCTTAAGCCCTGTACAGCAAAGAAACATCGCGTTATCCGAGTAGTTTCACTGCTTAAGCCCTGTACAGCGAAGAAACATCGCGTTATCCGAGTAGTTTCACTGCTTAAGCCCTGTACAGCAAAGAAACATCGCGTTATCCGAGTAGTTTCACTGCTTAAGCCCTGTACAGCAAAGAAACATCGCGTTATCCGTGTAGTTTCACTGCTTAAGCCCTGTACAGCGAAGAAACATCGCGTTATCCGAGTAGTTTCACTGCTCAAGCCCTGTACAGCAAAGAAACATCGCGTTATCCGAGTAGTTTCACTGCTTAAGCCCTGTACAGCAAAGAAACATCGCGTTATCCGAGTAGTTTCACAGCTTAAGCCCTGTACAGCAAAGAAACATCGCGTTATCCGAGTAGTTTCACTGCTTAAGCCCTGTACAGCAAAGAAACATCGCGTTATCCGAGTAGTTTCACTGCTTAAGCCCTGTACAGCAAAGAAACATCGCGTTATCCGAGTAGTTTCACAGCGACAGGGATTAAGCCCGACTCGTACCGAATTCTAATAAAGCAACAAAACCCAATGGAAATCTCTGCACAAAGCAGAGTCGATAGTACGATTCCTGTTATGTCATAAGCATGTGTTTTGGAAGTACTGTCAAATAGTGACGGCAACAGGAGTCCGCGAAAACATGAGCGTATCCTGCCCCACCGGTGGAGGTGGAAGCAAACGCATGCAAAGGCAAGTCAATTGTTCACCTAAAAAAACACGGGAACATATGGTACAAGTCAAAATAGGGAACTGCATCGGGCATCATTTTTGTCACTGAAGCGTCAAATTTGGAACCATAAAACCTTTTGAAAGCTTTACTGAGGCCTTGAAAGTTGTAACTTTGAACAAATAATTCTGAGCAAGAGTCGCAGGACGCTCTTTGAAACCTTGGCAGAAAGCTTGCTCGATTGTATCTCAAAAGTTGTGACATGTAAACACCAAAGGCTGGAGCTGCTGGAATATTGCTCGACATGAAGGGACAGTTGGAAAGTTGAAGTCATCCTTCTTGTCATACAGTCTTGTGGAGAGTGGTTTGTCACTCTGAAGCTTTAGCCATAGATCTAAATATGAGACAGATGAGGCGTTCTCACTGGTCTTCTTTATTTCTAGTTCAGGTGGGTAAATCAGTGGAAGAGAATTGGCTATTTGATTGTTATTGAACGATATCAGATCATCGATATACCTGAAGCTCAAGTTGAACGTCTTGGCCAAATTACCTTGCTTTGACTTTGCCAAGCCGAGCAGAAATTCCGATCCATATACATAAAGGAACAGATCCACAAGAAGGGGTGAACAATTGGTGCCCATGGGGATCCTACTTCTTGCTCAAATCTCTTACCCCAAACTTTTACGGACACTTAATTTTACACCAATTTTTAATGCACTTTAATGTACTGTTTTAAAATGAAAGTGATGTTACCGTCTTAATTACCTCTCTTATTCGTCGGTCCTACCATGGCGAACTTGTAACATGTAACATGTACTACATGAGTGAGTGAGGTTGGCTTGACGCCGCTTTTAACAGTATTACAGTTATATCACGGCGTGTCAGCTTAATGTGGGAGGAAAGCCCGAAATGATGCAGGTCTCAGACGTTTACCACTTCGGTGAAACCCACGAGCATGGGTATGGTGCTGACAAACCAAGAAACATAATTGGGGCGAACCGGGATTCAAACCCACAATCATAGGTTTCTGGCGTGCCCAAGGGACGCAACCCTGCACAGCGAATCGCATCGCCTTAGAGGACTGGGTCACCCGTGCCCCCTTGCACTACATGAAATACAATCTCCTTCTCTTGGGGCCGGAATTGCAATCCTGTGTTCCCTAATTTCCCACCCTTGCACAAACACCAACACACAAAATATTGCTGGTTTAGCGTGTTTTCATTGATTATTTGCGTACTTGTAGCACACCGCCTCCGTGGTCTAGTGGTACAGCGTCCGCCCGGAGAGCGGAAGGTCCGGGATTCGATCCCCGGCCGCGTCATACCAAAAGACGTTAAAAGATGGTACTTGTTGTTACCCTGTCTGGCGCTCGGAATTAAGGAGCTAAAACAAGGACTGGTCGGCTCGGAGTCAGTATACTGTGTCTGAGCGGGGTATTCATGTTAAACTGCGGCATGGTATTTCAGTGAGCTAGCACTATAAATCGGCATCAGTCCGGACTATTACAACCAGCCACACAAACACAAACACATACACGTACAGGCACGTCGCTATATAAGTGCAATAATCTTGGACGCGACGTTAAACCAAATTTCACCTCACCTCACCTCACTTATAGCACAGTGTCGGTATGTGGATTTTTCTACAGCAACTGTTGACCATTTAAAGGCATATTAATCAAACCAACTGTTTCTATACTGTATTCTTCAAATCATTCGCAATCGCCATAAGTACTCATTGTTTTCCCCCACTTTCAATCAATTTGCGTGGTGCAGTCATGGTAGGACTAGTTTAACGAAATATGTAGATTTACTTAAGCTTTTAACCTTCATTGCACGCTTTGACGCGTTTGTTTGTAAAAGGTATGAGCAAAATCAGTATCCGACACTATAGGAGGGAGAGGGAGTGAATTGATGTTTAACGCAGCTTTCAACATTATTCCAGCTGTATCACGTGTCAGCTTAACGTGGGAGGAAATCAGATCTTAGACGTTTACCATTTTGGTGAAACCCAAGAGTACGGGCATGGTGCTGACAAACCTAGAAACATAATCTGGGCGAACCGGGATTCGAACCCACAATTACCAGTTACTGATGTGCCAAAGTGAAGCAGCTCCGCACTGTGAACTGCGGCGCCTTAAACGACTGGGCCACCACTCCATCACTATAAGAACCTTTATGTATGGTTGGTTTTGATCGATTTTCACTGGACCAGTATGTGTTAGGTACACGTGAAGCAAGATTATTTCGTCAGGACGTCGTGTAAGATGGTCGGTTCCTAATAATATTCTATTCATAATAAACGTAAATCCTACAGAAACGTAGGCCGTCATTTGACCAACCTATCCACAGTTTCAGCGTTTGTGTAACATATGTAAAGGGTACATGGGGACCGTGTAGCTGGCAGTCCAGTAAAGTTTGGTTCAGGTCTTTCAAACTACACTTTGTCTGTTGTCTGAAATTGTATGATGCAGATGGCTCTAACAGATGGTTACCCTAATACTATTGAGAAATAACGGGATCGGGTGGTCAGGCTTGTTGACTTCATTGATGCAAGTCATCGATCCCAATTGCGTAGATCGATGCTCATGATGTCAATCACTGGATTGTCTGGTCCAGACTTGAGTATTTACAGACCGCCGTCACATAGCTGGAATATTGCTGAGTGCGGCGTTCAACAACAAACAAACAAACAAACAAACAAACCATTGAGAAAATGTTTCAGTTTCCGACATGGCACGATTTACTACGTCTAGGACTAGATTAAAGATTGGCGCCAGTGCGCGGGGAATTGTTTGCCTTGGGTGAGGAATGTGTGGGTTATGACAATCACATTAGCCCAGATATGTTTGGTTAATCCTACACTATAACGTCTATTTCATCTTCAGACTCGTATTGCCCTCTGGAAGGCGTGACTTCAAATGACCCTGAACTTTACCCCTGCCTCGCCGTGTCACGTGACCAGCTGAACTGGGTGGACGCTCTGAATGTGTGCGAGACGAATGGTGGGACACTGGTGAAGATAGAAACTGACAAACAACAGGACTACATCAAGGACAATCAAAGGTCACATAACACATTACCTTCCACGTTTGGGTGTTCTTTAACTTGTTTTGAGTAGTATATTTATCTGTTTGTGTTCCTTATTCGCCTCCAGTAGGGCAACAGACTCATTTTCAACCCTTTAAGGTGGATTCAGTTTTGAGTTTGTGTGTGTGAGGTAAAATTTAAAGTCACATCGGCAGTATTTCAGCCATATCGTGACTATCAAAGGTATACATAAGAAATATATGTAAACTATAAAAGCCAGTCAACAGTAAGATAACTGGTCTTATCATATATCTATATCTATATCTATATATATACTGAACCGCAAAAGAAACGTCACCCAAGTAACATTGCATGAAAAGTTGTCATTTAAATATCTGGGTAATTATTGTCAAAGTTTCTAAAATTTAATATTACCTTGTCCGGAAAAATGAAATTTGATAAAAAAACAAAGCAGATGACAATAAAACCGATCGCCCAAACGCATTACGGCAACGGCCATGGTAACCCGATGCACGTGAGTTCCGTGCAAATTGAAATGCACATGCGTTCCCCCATTTCTTGCCCTATACAAATCCACCCAGATCGGATAACATTCATTCGTTATTGAATTGCTACCACATGCCAAGATTGACAAGAAATCAGCGACACCAAGCCCTTGGACAATTGCAAGCTGGACAAACCGCCCGGCAAGTAGCCAATGCATTTCAAGTCCACGTAAGGACCATATACAGGCTCCCTCAACGGTACCAGACCACCATCACTACAGATGACCGACCACGTAGTGAGTAGTGGAAGACCAAGGGTTACCACTCGACGTCAGGATCGTCAGATTGTGCGACAGCATCTTCAAGATCGCTTAGTTACTGATGCGGAAACTGCTCAACAGACCACGGGGGCACACCAGCGACACACTAGTGCGGACACCGTGCGTCGACGATTGACAAGCAGACACCTCCAATGTCACAGGCCACACCGAGGACCCATTCTGACACCACGTCATCGCCGGGACCGTCTTCTGTGGGCAACACAGCACCAGCATTGGCGCCACCAGCAGTAGAGAAGATTCTTCTTCTCAGACGAGAGCCGTTACTGTATCTCAACAGCAGAGGGCAGAAAAAGAGAGTCTGGCGACGCCGTGGGGAACGTTATTCGGATGCTTGTGTTGTTGAGAGAGACTCGTGGGGTGGTCCGAGCATCGTGGTGTGGGGTGGAATTGGTCTTGCACAGAGGGTCGGCCCTGTAGTCTTCCAGAACATCGGTCCAGGGAGAGGCAATGGTGTCACAGCAGCTCGGTACATTGATCAAGTCTTGAGACCACATGCCATACGTCATTTGGCACGTCGCCGCAACCACGAGTTTCCGCATGATAACGCCCGTGCCCACACTGCGAAAGCAACAACAGACTTCCTCCAGCAGAATGGCATCAGAACCATGCAGTGGCCTGCCCTCAGTCCCGATTTAAATCTCATTGCGCGCCTGTGGGACGAGATTTAAAGACGGCTGAATCGGGATCGGGTGGTCAGGCTCGCTGACTTGGTTGATGCATGTCATCGATCCCAATTGCGTGGATCGATGCCCATGATGTCAATCAATGGATTGTCTGGTCCAGACTCGATTATTTACAGACCGCCGTCATAGAGCTGGAATATTGCTGCGCGAGGCGTTAAACAACAAACCAACCAACCAATAGATAACTATACATAACAATACATTATAAAAACGGGCAAAAGATCGCAAGCAAATGAAGGTAGATCACCATACTAGGGACCATGGGGAGATACAATACTTTAGCTTCCTTCATGGACCCCAGCAGGATTTACATTATCCCTTCAGGTGTTGGCGATTATTGACAAATTTAGCCGAATTAAAGGAACACACACTCTACGATAATAACCGGGGCAGTAATAAAAATACTGTGAATGACGTGGTCTTATGTATCATCTCCGTGGAACAATCCTTACATACTACTTCAAACCCCTTCGAGGGTACAGCCACTAACAGTCTTAGTTATCCAATTTATTTCACCAATGTTAATAAGATCATATTATTAATTAACACGTTCCAAAATGTATTCAACAATTCTGTTTAAAAAACCACCAAGAATTAAATGAGAACTGACATTGTTAAAAAGATCCTTGAAACTTTGAAATAGTTATCCCTTATGATGGAAAAATCAATGGAGTCTTTCATCACTAGGGATACAGAATGGAGGATCCTCACCTTTAAATAAATAGACATGAGGATATCGTGTATGGTCAATACGACATCGTCTTGATATTACCTCATCAAATCTGGACTGGCAACATAAGTAGGTATAACCGATATTTGGTGTTATTGTATGTAATTTATTCATAACCTCTTGGGTGTCCCACTTCTTCTGCATCAGATCTCTGATGTAACATCTGATAACAGGCTTATAGTCACTGTATGGAAGAAGAAGTTGTGTCACAGATTTGTTGAGTGCTGCCCTAGCTGCAGCATCAGCCATTGTGTTACCAACGATTTCAACATGGCTGGGTAACAAACAAAAGACAATGTCGTATTGGCCAGTTGCAAGATTATTATATACTCTAAAATATCAAGAACAAGTGGATGAGTAGAGTTGACATTTTGTATTGTCTGTAGGCAAGACAATGAACTGGAGAATATGATAAATTGTTTGCATTGTTTCTGGTGCTGAATATAGCCTTGGCTTCTGCGGTGAATATGGAGCTATTATCTGGTATTCTAGAAGATATAATTGTTGATCCAACGACATTGGCACTAGCAGTTTTGCCACCATCCTTGGACCCATCAGTGAAAATAGAGTGGTGAGAATCATATTTGGATCTGAATTGAATGTATTCCTGTTGGAAGATTAATTGGTTTGTTTCGGATTTTCTAAAATTAGCAAGGTTTGACTAGTTGCCAAGGGGGTGTAGACAACAGCTGATATGTCGTGATAATATCAAGATCTATGTTAGCTGCCACCATATGTGGCTTAATTCTGATCCCATGAGGCGGAACAAGTGTAGGTTTAGACTGAAACAATACTTCATAAACAGGTTGGTAAACACAATTATGATCTAGTTTTGAAGGATTTGAGTGTAATTTTGTAACATATTGTAATGAGAGTTTAAGAAGACGTTTTTTGATCGAAGGCTCATCAGCCTCCACATACAAACTGTCAACAGGAGAGGTTCGGAAAGATCCAATGACAAAGCCTCAAGCCTTGATGATGTATTGAATCCAATTTCTGTAAATTACTTTTACAGTCTCCACCATAAATGATGGAATCATAATCCAGTTTTGAGCGAATTAGGGATCTGTTCAGACGTAGAAGGGGTTTCTGATCTCCTCTCCATTAAGTGTTTGATACGACTTTCAGTAAGTGCTTTGAGGCATTTACCTTTTAGATATTTAATATGTGGCAAGAATGTGAGATGTCGGTCGAAAATAAGTCCTAGAATCTTGGCCTCTTCGACTACTTTGATGGGATTGCCAGATAAAAATAGTTCTGGATCCTTGTGCGGTCTATAATTTCTGCAGAAATGGATACAATTAGTTTTAGCTTTGGAAAAGTTGAAGCCAAACTACCATTTTATGAATTTTATGGAGGCAAAGTTGTAGCTGTCTCTCAATAGTATGCATATTTTTACAAGAAATATAAAAATCATCCACAAATAGCGATCCATCTACTGAATCGCTTAAAACTTTTGAAAGACTATTTATCTTGATACTGAATAGTGTGACAGACAAAATACTTCCTTGTGGGACACGCTGATCCTGATTATAATTATCAGATTGGGTTGAACCCACTCGGACTTGAAACTGCCTGTCGGTCAAAAACTGCGATAGAAAATGAGGCAAACGTCCTCTCAAACAAAAATCATGTAAATCCTTTAAAAATGCCATACTTCCAAGTAGTATCGTATGCTTTCCTCGAGATCAAAGAATATTGATACTATGTGTTGTTTATTTACTATAGCATTTTAACAAAGGATTCTAAGCGTACTAAATCATCAGTAGTAAACCACATTGAATATTTGTGATAAGATTGTTGGTTTCCAAATACCAAACTGATCTGTTATTTACCATTCGTTCCATGGTTTTACAGCCACACCTGGTTAAAGATATAGGGTGGTAATTGGAGGGATCGTATGATTACAACCAGGCTTTGGTATAGGGAAAATTCCCCGATGTCCATATTTGATCAAATATATATAAAACGATTATGAGACATGATTCAGGCAAATGCTTCAATAGCTGGCAGTGGATATTGTCAGCCCCTGTTGCTGTATCATGAGCTTGCCCAAGGGCAGTTTGTAGCTCATGTAAAGAAAAGACTTCATTGTAGTCTTCACAATTGTCAGACTTAAAATTTATTTTTGTCTTCCCCTGTCGTTTCTGATAAAAAAAATTAATTCAGGGACATTATCAGATGATGAAGAATGTTTGGCAAGTGTTTTAAAAAGTGTATTGGTGATGTCTTTATCAGTTAATGATTGATCACTGTCCTTAAGATGGTCAACAGAAGATTTGGAACCTTTGCCTTTTTTTTCTGAACCATGTTCCACGACTGAGACACAGGTGTAAGGGAATTTATTTTTGAGACATAGTTCATCCACGATTGACGCTTATTTTGTTTAAAAGCGCGTCGAGCCTTGGCATTTGTGATTTTAACTTCAGCTTAATTATGGACTGTAGGATGTCTGCGAAAATATTTTTCTGCTTTCTACCGACACATTCTGGCCTGTTTGCATTCAGTAGTAAACCATGGTTTATGAATATGAGGATTCGCAGAGGACTTAGGAATTGTTTGGTCAGCAATGTCATTTAGTTAGTTCGAAAACAACTGTATCGGGTCTAGGATATTCTTGAAAAGGTCATGTTTTAAGTTGTCAATACATAGTATCACTTATAATGACCAATTAGCCTAGGTAAAGTTCCACCTTGATGAAGGTGGGTCATCAGTACGGTTAATACTTTTAAGAATGGTTGGGAAGTGATCACTCCAACAGAGGTCATCATGGACCAACCATTCAAATTCATTATACAAGGTTGAGTCTGTGAGTGACAGATCGAGGGCAGAATACGTTCCAGCGGCTGGATGCATATAAGCGATGGAATCATCATTAAACATACCTAGGTTGTCAGAAATACATTCCTCAATGATTTTCCCTTTGTGATAAGTATTTGCACTTCCCCATAGCTGGTTGTGTCCGTTGAGATCACCCATGATGATGCAGGGCTTTTGGATCTGGTCATACAGTTTGTGAAGCTCAGACTGTCAAAGATCAGAAGAAGGAGGGATACACAAAGAGCCCAGTGTAAAAGCAATGGAATTGGTATTAACAGAAGATTGGTATAAAGAGGAAGGGGTGATCCCCTGTCGCACCAAGATAGTAGAGCCTCCCGTTGCTTTATCTCCCGGAGAAGAAAAGGAATGATAGTCATTGTACTGTCTTAAGTTAAACTGATCTGTAGTTTTTAGGTATGTTTATTGAAGACAAAATGCTGGACATCTTTCTTTTCTTTCAAAATTAAGTTTCATTATTTGTGATTCAACCGGGCAAGATTTGGATGAAGCAACATGTGGGCCAGCGCAGTTAGCACACTTCAAATATTTCTCAGAGTCAGTGTTCTCATGGCTGTCACCTCAACGGTGACATACCACAGAGCTGTGACATGATTTGTTACCATGACCGAAATGTTGGCACTTGTAGCATCAGAGCGGATTGGGGACATACACATTCCACTCTGATGTTGAAATAACCTGCTTTAATTGACTGGAGAAGGGATGTTCTGGCAAACGTCATGAGATGTGATGAAACCCTCCTTCTTGATCATGAAACGTTTAACTGCGGTAACAGCCTGGTCTTCCAATTCTGTAGCAATATCTTCATCAGATCATGTCGGACAGACAACGAGCCCTGTCATGAACAAGAGTTTAATGTTCTGTGCACAGACACAGCAACCTCAATATTGGCAAATTTAGAGATTGATAAAAGAGATTGCTGTCTCCGTGCACACTCCACCAGAAGCGAACCACTACGGTGACGGGTGACGTTCTTGACCTCACCGCAAATACAAGAAACTCCTTAGACTGGTTCAGCCCATGATAAGAAATTGGAAACATACATTATTCGGAGGTCAACATTACCAGATTGGCCCATGAGCCACAGCCTTCTGGCATAAGACTCTAGGAAATTAACTACATCGGTAATTTGTAGTTGACACATGCGCATACACAATATCATACACAGGCTTGGCATGACTAGCCGATTGATAGGCTTGGGCCAATCCTACCACCCGTCTGGGTGAAGTAAGGGTCGAAGTGGTGTGTTGGGCGAAAGGAACACAGTTCCTGGCTCCAGTGCCCTCAACCATCACATCCCGTCCTCCACCGACACGGGCGCAACCCACGGCAAACAGTTTGCCCAATTCGCTCACCTCTTACAACCAGCAATGGGGTGCTAGGGACACATTCTACCCCGGGTCCCCACTGGGAGATTCATGTTTGCAAAACATGATACTTAAATTGTAACTCCTTGACGCTGTTGGTCGTCAATATTTTATCCCGTAGGTTCGTAAATTGAATATATTTCTTGTATATTTGCTTCAAATAATGGAAAGTGACAAAACTCTTTCATAGGAAATCGTAGAGTCTTCTTAAAGAGCCGAACTCATCTCCAGCATCAATAGATTTGCAAAGCTGACACTGACGGTCTTCCTTGGACATGTTTTATTAAAACCATCTTCAGATTCAACTGATAATTTATTATTTGTAGTACTGAATATTATTTGGATCTGAAACAGAAGGAAGGTTGATTCTTTAAATACTTATAATAAGATCCCTTGGAACTCACTTCAACATAGGATCTCTCAAAATATATAACAACCATTGAATTGTCTGATATATTGAATTTCTTAATAATTATACCCATGGAATACAACCAACTTTTTCATTAATAGCCAGTAATCAATATTTATATTATTTTCATCTCTTTTTGCCTTTAACGCGCAATGGAATGTGTTTCGGCAGATAAACGAGACTGATTATGCATTTGCGTTGATGTTTTATAATGGTGTGTTGTTTTATGCCGTACTCAGCAATATTCCAGCCATATGACGGCGGTCTGTAAACAATCGCGTCTGGAATAGACAATCCAGTGATAAATATCATGACCATCGATCCAAGCAATTGGGATCGAGGACATGCATCAACCAAGTCAGCGAGACTGACCACCCTATCCCGTTAGTCGCCTTTTACGACAAGCATAGTCGCCTTTTGCGGCAAGCATGGGTTGCTTGAGACCTATTCTACCCCGGATCTTCACGGGTCTTTTAGGAGATTGAGCATAATCGTTTTCTTCTCTTACTTCCAGAAATAAGAAATATACCTGGTTTGGCATGAACGATTTGGCGATTGAGGGATCATTTGTGTGGACAGATGGCAATGACGTCACATGGTTCAACTGGAGAAATGAACAGCCAAACGGCGATGATGACCAGAACTGTACAGCGATTGACGAGCGCTATGAGTGGCAAGACAAGGAGTGCGAAGAGCTCTACTATTACGTGTGTCAAATAACATCTAACAGCGAACCAGGTTAGTACAGCTGGATAAGCACCTATGACAATGTTGAACTGATATATAAAACCCGAGAAGATCCCGGGGTAGAATAGGACTTCAGCAACCCATGCTTGCCGTAAAAAGCGACGATGCTAGTCGTAAGAGGCGACTAACGGGATCGGATGGTCAGGCTCACTGTCTTGGTTGAGGCATGTCATCGTTTCCCAATTGCGTGGATCGTTGCTCATGATGTCAATCACTGGATTGTCTGGTCCAGGATCGTTTATTTACAGACCGCCATCATATAGATGGAATATTGCTGAGGACGACGTTAAACAACAAACAAACAAAACTGTGGTCCCGAGTAAGCCAGGATTTTGTACCCCATGTGCATTAATAGCAGTTGAAAATAATAACTAGTGTTTTATGACCTTTGTGTACATCAATTAATCCATGTTCCGGAAAGCCAGAATCTAATGTTTGTTCTCTTTCCCAGTGCCCAATGTGTATGACCCAGCAAGTCCTCAGATTGTGGACAAAGAGGCTACGTTAAAGGTGCCGGAATCGTCCCGAGACATTGAATTGATGAGCCTTCTGATGGTCGAAGATGAAGTCGTTTGTGTCATGCATTGTCTCTACAATCCAGGGTGTGTAGTCCTGGGGTATGGACCAGCCAAGACTCCGCACAACTGCCTTCTCTACAAAGAGGCACTCGGTGGCTATGCCCCGCTGTTTAGGGGATGGAATGTGTATGCGATCACAGGATAGACGCAAACCATTGTTGGATCCGTGTTGAATGGGAATTGGGTGTCGTGTTTGGATCGGGTTGGTTCTAGCCTTCTAGGTTCTAGGGTTTGGTTGGTCAGTTGGGTTGTTGTTTAACGCCGCACTCAGCAATATTCCAGCGATATGATGCATGTCATCGTATCCCAATTGCGTAGATCGATGCTCACGATGTCAATCACTGGATTGTCTTGTCCAGACTCGATTGTTTAACGACCTCCGTCATATAGCTGGAATATTGCCGAATGCGGCGTTAATCAACAAACAAACAAAGCATAGAGATAACCGAAAGTATTGTGTCAAGTAAAATAATTTCACCACGTAAAAGGCAAACGAAAGGGAAATCAAAATTAACATATACATATTTTAAACCTTAACTACTGGGCAAAAGAAAGTTTTCACCGACTTCACTTGACCAAACACCAAAAACAAAGGCATATGTGAGATTTATGATGATTAATTTATAAACAGAAATCATTTTCAATGAATTAGAATGAAAATGCATTGTAATGCCGATATTGCATTCTCCGCAATACACAAAGAAAGAGCCAAGGGGTCCAAATTAAAACTAAAAGCAAATGAGAGTTCATTGAAAAAGTGCATGAAGAGTCCATTAATGACACAGTAGTCAGGTGACACGTCATCAATAGCGAGTGTGACCTCCCTGGGCATCCATGCACGCCAACACACGCCTCCTCATTGATGTCGGCGGATAACGTCAACAAGAATCCTGTTCCATAAGTTCAATAGAGTCTGTTCAAGTTCCTGTCGGTTCGCTGGAGGCGGTACATGTTGTCTCAGCTGACGATCAAGATGATCCCAGAGATGTTCAATGGGGTTAATGTCTGGAGAACAAGGTAGCCAGGGCAATACGTTGACGTTAACGTTGTTCAATAGTCTTGAACAATTCGGGCGGTGTGAGGCCTTGCGTTCTCTTGTTGCAAAATTTATCCTCTTGGCTTGTGTTGAATAAAGGGCACCACAATAGGTCTCAACACTTCATCCCTGTATCGCTGAGCATTCAGGTTTCCTCGGATGATAACCAGCCGTGTTGTGAGCTGGCCACAAATGCCACCCCATACCATGACGCCTCCACCTCCAAACGGGTGAGCTTTTCTAATGCAGTTTGGCGCCAGTCGCTCTCCCCTTCGTCGAAAAACTCGAACTCTGCCATCGTTCCTGAACAGACAGAACCGACTTTCATCTGTAAAGAGCACTCTCGCCCAGTCACGTCGCTGCAACCGACGTACAGTTCATGCCCATTGCAGTCTGCGTTGACGGTGTAGACAGGTCAAGGCCATTCCACGGAAGGGTCGTTAGGCTCGTATACCAGCCGTACGAAGTCGTCGAAGGACTATTCGTCTGCTGATGGCATGCCCTAGTGCTGTTGCCGCCGTTGACGTCGCCGTCACACATCTGTTTCGGAGGTGAATCTGCCGGATGTAGCGGTCTTCGGCCGGTGTTGTCACTCTCGGTCTTCCCGATCTTGGCCGGTCTTGAGTCTGTCCTGTCTGTTGGTAGCGGATTATCAACTTGATGATGGTGGTCTGGGAACAGTTGAAGGTTCTGGCTATCTGACGTTGAGTAGCCCCCATATTGGCCATACCGATCGCTCTGTCTAGTTGCGCTTGTGTAAGTCTGGGCATATTCATGGTGGTTTTTTGCTTACTGAATGCCTGCTCTGCCCAACGTCGGTATTTATGCCACAATCACGCCCGTGCATTTGGACCAATGTCTCAAAATCACGTTTTGCACGTTTTCAACAATGCATGATTTGGAAAGCTGCGTTCGAAAATCTGCGTTGTGGTTGTGGTCATGTTTCATTTGGGCGAATGTTTTCTGCGGGGGTTCAAACCTGTACCAGCTTTTTAGCTTTATATACAATATTTTTAAAATGAAAATTTTCTTTCGCCCGGTAGTTTAAATGGGAGAGGTTATCTCTATACGTACTAGATATGTTCACATTGTTCTCAGGTTTCAATAAAAACTAGAAATTCCGAAATATCTTTGTTAAAAAAAAAGAGTTTAAAAAAGAGTTTATGTGGTTAGATCACATGCATTTACATGTCTTTTGTAGCTCATGTACTTCTTGTACTTTTCTCTGTAACAGGAGGGTTGGTTCAAAGTTCTTAGCCTCGCATAGAAAGACTTAACCGAAAGACATTAGAATGTTCTCTTGTTCAACTTAACTTTGGTTTACAAATCGAGACTGGAATATATTCAAATACCCCTCTCGAGCAAAGGTTACGTTATCATTGTCAAACAAATGGAGAATTTATTGTTGAAGATGAAATCCTTGTTTTGTTTGTTTGTAAATTATATAATGATGTTATACATATTTTTATCGCTCCCCTTATTTTCATAATTTAGAAAAAAACTAAACATTCTAATATACATCATTTGTAATGAAAATGTCCAAACAAATCTATGCTCTATTTAGAAACCCTGTTTTGTAAATTGTAAACATTTTATGTGCGGTTCAATCTGTTCTTTCAATGTAAACATGTATTATGGGCCTGTGGCCTTTCACTGAAATAAAATTGTCTGTCTGTCTTTTTCAACATGATCCCCTTCCATATTGATACACCTTTGCCAACGATTTTGGAGGGACTGTATCAAAGTTTTGTAGAGCTTTATTCCTGTTTGGGAACAGATGGATGTCTGAAGATTCCCGAGCAGGAGAAGGTTGGTGCTGAAGACGTTCAAAGCCACACTCGTGTATTGTAGGTGTGGTGTGGTTTGTTTGTTGTTTAACGCCGCACTCAGCAATATTCCAGCTATGTAACGGCGGTCTGTAAATAATCGAGTCTGGACCAGACAATCCAGTGATTGACATCGTGAGCATCGATCCTGGCAATTGGGACACGATGACACGTATCAACCAAGCCAGCAAGCCTGACCACCCCATCCCGTTAGTAGCCTCTTACGACAAGCAAAATCGCTATTTACGGCAAGCATGGGTTGCTGAAGACCTATTCTACCTCGTGCGCTCCCACTGTTTTGACTGTTGTTCGGATTCAGGCTGGAGTGAGTGAGTGAGTGAGCTTGGTTTAACGCCGCTTTGAGCCGTATTCCTGTAATATCGCGGCATGCCAGCTTAATGTGGGAGAAAGTCAGGAGTGATGCTTGTCCCAGACGTTTACCACTTCGGTGAAATCCACGTGAACGGGTATGGTGCAGACAAACCTAGAAACAAACGGGGCGGACCGGATTCGAGAACACGATCATAGTTTTTTGATGTGTCACAGGGACGCAACTCTGCATAGCGAAATGCGACGCCTTATATGACTGGGCCACCCATGTCCCAAGGGCTTTTAGAGAGAGAGAGAGAGTGTCGGAAATTCAGAAACACAAGAAAGAAGGGAAAAAAATCACATTTTATAAATTTTATAATATATTTAAACACATACTATCTGAAGGCTCTCGATTTGTTGAAAGTCGTTGCGATCGTTCTACGCAATTGGGATACGATGACAGGCATCAACCAAATCAGCGAGCCTGACAACCCGATCCCCTTATTCGCCTCTTATGACAAGCATAGTAGCGTTTTAAGGTAAGCTTGTTTGTTTGTTTGTTGTTTGTTTAACGCCGCACTCAGCAATATTCCAGCTATATGACGGAGGTCTGTAAATAATCGAATCTGGACCAGACAATCCAGTGATTAATATCATGAGCATCGATCCACGCAATTGGGATCGATGACATGCATCAACCAAGTCAGCGAGCCTGACCACCCGATCCCGTTAGTCGCCTTTTACGACAAACATGGGTTGCTGAAGACCTATTCTACCATGGATAAGTTGTTATAATATTATATTTATGCCTGTGTAATGTATAAAGCAATGTTGGTAAATAAATGTCTGTATCTCATTAATAAAAAATTTAGTATACTGAACCAAATTAAAAACTTCACAGTCCTAAAATTTTAACATTTTGACCAGTTATCATTGTGGGCCCTTATTGTGTATTTAAACAGTAATGGCCACGTATTGTCTTCAGATAACACCCGTTTTTGTGCAGGTGAATCGACCAAAATCATGTGCACAGCACTATAGTGGCAAAAGTGTTTTTTCACGTGCAACTGGTCACGTGGTCATAATACCGCACGTGTTTTTAGCCATTCTTGTTAGCAGTCATTAACAAAAAAAAGTAAAACACAAGAAAACAAAAATCTTTACGGCAATTGGTCATGCCACGCCTTTCAAATGTGCAACGTGAACGTGCTATCGGCATGTTGCAGACGGGAACGTCTGTAGCTGAAGTCGCAAGGACGATGGGTTGTAGTCGACGGACTGTTTATGATTAACAGACGCGTCTACAGCAAACGGGTACCACCGCTGATCGCCCTCGGCCCGGTCGACCACGTGTGACGTCACATGCAGAGGATCGTCAGATTGTGTTACGTCACCTCCGTAATCGATTTTTGACGGCTACATCAAGAAATGAACTGTTTAGGGATAGACTGAGTGCGCAAACTGTTCGAAACCGTCTGAGAACTACTCACCTTCAAGCACGACGTCCATACTGCGGGCCGATTCTGACTCAATTACACACACGTCAACGTCAATTGTGGGCACAGCGACACTTACGATGGACTCATTGGAATCAAGTCGTCTTCAGTGATGAATCCCGATTTAATCTTCGATTTGCTGATGGTAGGGCGAGGGTGTGGAGGCGCCGTCATGAACGTTACGCCCAGTGTTGTGTACAGGAAGTTGACAGATTTCGAGGCGGAAGTGTCATGGTGTGTGGAGATTTCTGTGGCAATGCACGTTCCAGGCTTCTTGTCATCCTCAACCTCAACGCTGCTGCTTACCGCGACCAGGTACTGGCACCAGAACTTCTGCCTTTTATGGCAGCACATGGACCCGGCTTGATCTTCCAACACGACAATGCCAGACCCCACACAGCAATTTTGACAAGGAATTTCCTTCAGAATGCGAAAGTCAACGTCATGGACTGGCCGTCAAGGTCTCCCGACCTCAATCCCATCGAACACGTCTGGGATGCTCTTGGCAGAAGTCGGCGCACTCTCCAGAACCAACCACAGAATTTGCAAGATCCTGGCACCATTTTGCAGCAACAATGGCGTCGTCTTCCCAATCATGTGTTCACGAGCATCACAAAGTCCATGCGGAGGCGTTGTGTGGCAGTTGTCAACGTACATGGTAGCCATACACGCTACTGAACTTGTGAGCCATCAGATTCTCGTGCTTGGGACTTATGATTTAAACTGTTGATGTTATTACCGAATACCGTAGGTGCTTGGAACAAGTTATGGTTACCACCGTTAATTAAAATCCTTCTTTGGACGTTAATGATTAAAAATTACCTTTTCTGATACATTTGTCCGTTGTATATCATATATGGGATTACTTTTAAAAATGTGAAGTTTTTAATTTGACTCAGTATATTTAAACATGTTACAAATACTAGTGTTTGTGCGTGTGTGTACTAGACATAATTCTTTGTTTGGTGTATGTGTTTTGGTCTGGGTGTTAAATGGATTAATTTGTGTACTCAGTAACTAATATTGTATATTCATGATGCGATGAATAGTCTATGTATATAAATAGGAATGTATGTCTTCATGATGGACAGGTTATCACGAGGACTGATTTATTGTACCTTGGGTACATACACTCTTCAAAAAAGGACGCACAGGTAGTATGTAGTTCATTGAACCTGACTACACAAAAAATCCGGTATATAAAATGGATACATGTTATTGGAAAATGTTGGTGGTCTGATATTCGACAAACGGTGCGTCAAAACGCAATCATCGTCAATTTGCAATGTCTTAAACGGCATTGTTTTCACACTTATTCAAAAATGTCATGACGGAAGACAGTAAAGCAAAGTGCACGTGCAAGATATGGATGGCATTCGTAACTCGTGATAGTGGCTATAAAAAGGCAAGTGTAAGCCAATAATTTGTCATTCAATTGTCCACATTTTTCTAGTTCTAAAATGCCGAGACGCAGCGCTGCCGATCTGAACATCGCCATAGGACGTATCCAAAGAGGGTAATCGCAGTCTTCTTTTGCACGCCACTTCAACGTCCACCACAGCACCATTTGCCGCCTTTGTGACCGATCAATTCCACTGCAGACCGTCCGAGAACCGGCTGACCAAGAGTTACCACCCCTGCACAGGATCTCTACATTCGACTGATCCACCTACGTCATCGCAATGCCACAGCTGCGGAGACTGCAGGACGCATCAATGGTTTGAGGAGGAAATCGAACCAGACTGTCAGGAACCATCTTCGCGAGGCTGGACGTGAACATGTGACTATCGAGCTCCAAAATTTCATATTTGTATGTATGATAATATATCAAATACATCGACTGTATTAGGTACAATAAATGTTCTGAAAATCTACATGTGCGTTTCTTTTTAGAAGAGTATATATACATACATATTAATTGTGTTTTCATAAATGTATCGTTATGATGAGAAGAAATTGATATACATATAATGTTCATTGAAATTCCTGCATTCTGATTAGCAGAATTGATCACCTGTTATTGCATTCATTTCCCAATGAATGTAAAAAATTAAGCCACGCCCACCAAAGCGGACTACTTTTATTACTACGGAATGTCGGGGAATCCCAATATTACATGGGAGGGTATTCCCTTTCTGCTCACGTGTATCGCCATGTACGGGCATTTAGCGAAATTCATGCATATTCCTTGTCCAAACAACCCTTTGAGACCTAAGGCTGAGAGAATGAAACAGCAAACGTGCAGGCTCGCTCGCCATTTTCTGCCCCGCTCGCCTTGGTTCCCCATCTTTCTTGACTTCGGGTTTCATTTCTAACTAGCATTTTTCCAACTGGGTCTTCCCGTTCTCAGGAAACTAATGTTCGAATCTGGCGGTAACTGACCATGTCATTTGAAACAGCCGCCTTCTCCCGGACACATTGTTTGCGACTCGTTACAGTCTGAGATCTTCTCGCCTCTTGCCTTGATTGACAGGTCCTATGAACTTTGTTTTAATCCTACTCTCCGTTGATTGGCTACTGACTTTGTGGGCGTGTCAAGTTATGTGCATAAATTAAACACTCACCAGTATGTATTCCTACATCTGGAATGTTTATCAATCTCGTCATTTTTGTATGCTTTGATATAAACAACTGTTTTGGGTTAAACTATTATATGTTTTCGTCGTCGAATTTATTTTTCAGCATTGACTGTGTATTTACTTCGGTTTATTGAGGTATGAATCGAAAAACCGATGTGCAAACTTTTGTAAGAATCCGCTACTCTCAAGGGACACAACTCTGCACTGCGAATCGCGGCGCTTAGACGACTGGGCCACCCATGCCCCCTTATGGTTGTAGAATAGTATAACATGAATATCCTATAGGTGTAGTAGATTAGTCTTTAATCTGCTTTGGTTGTATGTGCATTTTGTGTTGAAAAAGTGTATGTTTATTATTGCATTCACTGTTATGGGTGTCTTTTTCAACACAAACAAACAGACCCCACACCCTCAGCCTGTGTCATCGCGCTGTAACTACATCAGCAATCCTCCGTACATGTGCCACACGGAGGCTGGACGTTGAAGTGCCAGTTGCACAGCTGATTTTTAAAGTCGAACACGAGCCCTGAAACAGAAAGGTTAGGTATTGGTACTGCATTAATGCCGAACAATATTGTCGAAATATTCTGGATGTAGTACCAGTTGACAAAGTCTTTACCCTATTCCTTAGTCCCAAGGAGGCAATTTGAAGATACCATAAATCCTTGAATAAACGCCCGGCGTTTTTTTATTTATAGTACTCAAAAGAAGTTAAGGATCACCTGATTCTTTCATATTACAATAGTTAATCTCTCATGCCATGACAGATTAACATTACCAATATGAAAGAATCGGGTGGTCCTTAACTTCTTTTGAGTAGTATATTTCGGAAGGTCCCGACACACAGCGTTATGTTTTTCAGAAGGGGATATTTACATCAAATGTATGTTTTTTTGTTCACGATCTGTACCTCAAAACTGTTAAGCTATTGATTCATGGTTTTTTAAACTGTAAACCAACTACATTAAGGCTGCTATCTGTCTCTCGATAAAACGAACGTTAAGCAGCCTCCACCAATGCCTGAGTGTCTATGATTGATGTCGTTAGCAAACATTCCCAGAGTGTTTAAGAAAATGAAAAATGTGAGAAGGTTCTCTGGGGACATTTCAACAAAGTTAGCACTGCAATGGCGTACATGTAATGAGGAGTCCAAGGTACAATATTTGTGGGAACAATTTCATGGAGTCCTACTGTAGACATGAAACCCCTGACAGAACTATTAAATGGAAAAATTGGCTTGGTATTCTAACAGCCTTGCAATATGATCGTAGACTCAAAGCAATCAACCCAATAGGTGATTTGGTTGGTAGCGTGTCAACCTGCCCCGATGGTTTGGATTGTTGTTACTCATGGTATCAATCACTGGTTTGTCTTATCCAGATTCTTGACAATTCGCATACTTGTCGTTAAAGGCTACCATGCTTGTCGTAAGAGGCTACTAACGGGATCAGGTGGTCAGGCTCGCTGACTTGGTTGATGCATGTCCTCGTATCCCATTCGCGTAGATCGATGCTTATGATGTCAAACACTGGATTGTCTGGTCCACACTCGATTATTGCCAGACCGCCGTCATTTAGCCAGAACATTGCTGAGTGCGGCGATACACGACAAACAAACTTTACAGACCCTCGTCATTGAGCTGGAATATTGCTGAGTGTGGCGTTAAACAACCCTAATCCCCCAAGCCGAGGTATCGTGGTTAAAAAAGTGTGTTGCTCCTCCTGTCAGAGTTTTGAAGCAATGAAAGAAAGGTTAAACGTAAGGCGGTTTCGTGTGTTTTGTTTGTTTAACACCGCACTCAGTAATAGTCGAGTCTGGACCAGACAACATCGACACCATGAACTTCGATCTGTGCAATACGATGACATGCATAAACCAAGTCAGCAATCCGGAACACTCGAGCCCGTTAGTCGCCTCTTATGGCAAGCATGGGTTGCTGAAGATCGGTGCCATTGCAGTCCTAAAGGGAGAAGTCATTGTTTGACACGTCCCAAGAGAACATTCTCATATTTTTCATTTTCTGAGACACTCTGGGGATGTTTGTTACAACATCAATTACAAGCATGGGTTGCTGAAGAATTCTAACCTAGGGCTTAGGCAGTTTGAATAGGACATGGCGTCGTTTCCTTATTTTTAAGAGTTGCCTTCAACACCGAACTGCTATGTTACTTTTCCCGTGAATATTTAGTGTCATTCAACTTGCCTGGTGGACAGAAATTGTGCCCGTAGAAGATACCGAATTGGCAGGTGTAGTAGGTCATGCAGGCGTTGGCGTAGTCGGGGTATCTGTTGTCAGGTTGGTTCAGGCAGCTTTGAACGTCAGTACATGGCCAGTTTTGGATACCGGGGCTGGTGGTAAAGATGCACTCTTGATTGCCGCAAACAGGTAAAACCAGCATTTTCCATGTGGATTGCATGTAATGCTTCCTTAGCAGTATCATTTCAAGAGTTGAAATATGTTCTTTAATATTGTACCACGACTTTGTACCTCGTCTACCTATGTAGACAACAGATTGAAATGGCAAAAAAGGCCCGCAACGTAACGATAGTTGCTGTCAGTATAAAAATAAATTGCTGATATTAAATAATATCAACATAAAGACTGAGAAACAACACTTTGGATCTTAACGATAAGGAGAAACATATGCAAAAAATTATTCCTGCGAGTTCATGCATTTTTAAGAAAATGGTAAGAAAAAGATTAAATATCACAAAACATATATGTCAGGCCCCTCTACTGAATAAATATATACCACATTTCATTATCTTTTTAACAAGAATGGCTATCTACAGGTTGTTAGGATGGCTAGGTTGGCGGCGATATTAATCATTGGTTTCGAACCTCTTGAGTACATGTGGATGTGGTCATTGTTGAGGACAAAACGTGAAGTTACAGCTTCATTGGTCTCCGGATACTGAACAAAGAGGACATTACATATGTATGCTGACTGGAAAACAATCTCGGTTCACCCCAATTAGGTTTCTAGGTTTGTCAGAAACATACCCGTGCTCGTGGGTTTCACCAACGTGGTAAACGTCTAAGACCTGTTTCACTTTGGTCATTCCTCCCAAATCAAGGCACTCATGAAGAGCAACCTCCACATGGTGAGTGCTTGATAATCGCTCTTCCCCCGTGGGAAACAGGGTAGAATGTGTCCTCATCACGCCATCGTTTGTCGTAAGAGGCGACTAAATTTGGCAACCCGTTTGCCCTGTGTTGTGCCCCTGTGTCGGTCTGGGAAGGGAGGAAGGGTGTCTGGTGGTTGAGGGCACTGGTTCCTGATAGACGGATCCTTTGCCTATGACACAACTTTGACTTTACCTAGACGGGTGGAAGAATGGTCCTGGTTCTATCGATACTTAGCCTTGGTTCCTTGTCATGAAAGGTAAGGGTGACCGTACTCTAGCCTCTTATTCACTATTTTACTTTTGGGAAAAGGACTCATAGTGAAAGTTGGTGAGTTGAAGGGTGTAATGAAATGACGATCTGGAGCACTTTGATTGAATGTACTCGGATTTTTTCAAGCCATTGATATAATAACACTGACTAAATTGGCTGATAAACCAGTTAGCTGTTCTGCTCATAAGAACCTTAATTTCAGCAAAGGCCCACTCCATGACCGTGATCGCAGTCAAGCAGATGAAACCATTGATGAAAATGTATTAGAACGTCGCAGTCAAGATGTGACTGAAATCGATATGATTGAAAGAGTGAGTCAGTGAGTTGGGTTTAACGCCTCTTTTAACATTATTGCAGTTATATCACGGCGTGTCAGCTTAATGTGGGAGGAAAGCCCGATGTGATTGAGGTCTCAGACGTTTACCACTTCGGTGAAACCCACGAGCATGGGTATGGTGCTGACATACCTAGAAATATAATCGGGGCAAACCGGAATTCGAACCCACAATCATAGGTTTCTGGTGTGCCCAAGGGACGCAACCCTGCAGAGCGAATCGAGGCGCCTGTGACGACTGGGCCAACCGTGCCCCCCATGATGGCAATACATCCACTTAGCCTCTGAATACTTCCAACTGTCAAGGTGATCATACGTGATCTTCAACTGACTGTAGTGAATACAAGTTTGAAACGTTCAGTCCCTTGTACAAAAAATTAAATACGAGCAAAAGATCAGCTACAACGATGCCAGGACACAAGCGAAATTAGTCGCACCTGCTAACACAATTTGTAATGAGGGACACTTATTAATACAAGATTAAAAGCGTCTGCAATCTCTCCCCAAGAACATAAACATACAGACACATTAGACCTGAGGCAGTACAACTGTCATGATTCATTTCCTCCTCAGGGTAATAAAGCGAGTGGAGGCTCTACTATTTAATCAGGCAGGTCGTCATTCATAGTGATCTTCAACTAAATACTAATCTTCAAGCTGTTGCTAACCAAGGTGTGGAACATGGTACAAACAAACAAGGTGACAAATTACTAACTGATAAATCTGACATTGCAAATAAACTTCTCAAAGGAAAAGGGTAAATTATGATTTTAATATCGGTGACGATTTTCGTTGCGTGAGTTACATATTGCACTTGAGCAAACTCATGATACTGCAGAAGGTGATAATACCCTAGATCAGTTACTGAAGCATTTGCTTGAATCATGTCTTGAGACATTTTTGGACATATTTGACCAGGGCCCACTTGCACAAAGCGATCTTAGCGCTAAGCTGATCTTAACTCCCATACTTTAACATAGGCTTACAATAGTCGTAGCGCTAAGATTGCTTTGTGCAAGTGGGCCCAGATATGGACATCAGCGATTTTTCCTACTTCGTAGCAAAATACCATTGTCGTCCTCATACCAAAACCTGATCGGAATCATACAGAATTACCAAATTACCACCCTGTATCTTTAACCAGTTGTTGCCATGATTTGTGAACACCTTTTAAAGCTTTCAAAAGAAATTATGCTAGACATACGTTCACTTGTGTTATCACGTGAACTGACTCGCCTTTGCATGTGTTTATTCACCTCATATAAAGTCTATAATTGTTTATACGCATAATAACTTACGTCACGCATTTCTGTTGGTCAGGATCGAACACTTGTGTACTGTTGCACAATATCTCAGTGGCCACTCCTTGCGAACATATCACGTAAGAGAAGCAGTTGTACTCATATATTCCATCAGGCTCGCCAGTGCAGTCCATGCCGGTGGTCACTGGAATGTTCAACTATACTCAAAGAATGTTAGGAGTGGGGCAAGGAGTAGCTGAAGTGATAGGGCAAGAAGTTGAAGTGTTAGGAGTGGGGCAAGGAGTAGCTGTAGTGATAGGGCAAGAAGTTGAAGTGTTAGGAGTGGGGCAAGGAGTAGCTGTAGTGATAGGGCAAGAAGTTGAAGTGTTAGGAGTGGGGCAAGGAGTAGCTGTAGTGAAAGGGCAAGAAGTTGAAGTGTTAGGAGTAGGGCAAGGAGTAGCTGTAGTGATAGGGCAAGAAGTTGAAGTGTTAGGAGTAGGGCAAGGAGTAGTTGAAGTGTTAGGAGTAGGGCAAGGAGTAGTTGAAGTGTTAGGAGTAGGGCAAGGAGTAGCTGTAGTGATAGGGCAAGAAGTGGCTGTAGGATGCAGCCTGTAAATAATGAAATCTTGACCTGACAATCCTGTGATTTATATAGTGAACAACGATCCATGGAGACAGGGTACGAAGATACCACAAAACTTGTCCACAAGCCAGACCACCGTTTCGATTAAGTCGACTACCAACAGCATAGGTTGATGTGAGCCTGTTTTAACCCGGGATCCCCTTGAGGCAGTGATAGCTCAGGGACAAGGTGTAGGATGCACGAAGGCGTATTGTGAGGATTCAAGGTATCATGGCGTGTCAGCATAATGTGTTAAAAACGTCGAAGGTGACACAAAGTGGATTAGCTGCAAGTATCATGATTAGAGAAAACTGGGATTCGACCCCAAGATCCTCGGATCCTAGCACTACTTAAGGACTTAAGCAAGTAGGGATAGTAGCAAGGTCACAGGTTAATAAACGTACCGGCAATGAATCCCAGCAGAACGATCCAAAACAGCATATCTGGCCGGGACGACATGCTCAGTTGAGGCACAAAAGGTAACTAACAGGGTAAGACTGTGAACTGTTGTGCTTCGTGGGAGGCGGCAAGCGATAGTGCAACTGTAAAATGAGATAAGACAAGCACCTGTTACATTGTTATGTCCTACATTCCTTATTACCAGGCCTTTATGCTTGGAGATAGTGTACATTGATTTTCGGATATGGTGAAGGCGAATAAAGGTAGGTCATTAAAAGAACTGATTAACCTCAGACCACTCAACACATCACATTTTTGTCTACGATAGTTAAACTTTTAGAATCATCTTCAGGGACCGACAATTTAATATTCCTGATTAGGTCGATCAGACATTTCTTTCAGCCACAGCTACAGAGCCTGAATATTTTTTTAAGAAAAGCACCTTGCAACCTTGGAACAATGTATTTTTAGGCTGCAAGATCTTCGTATTTACAACAGAATGAAGCATAATTTCCTGGTTAATCACTTCTTCCGATAAATTTATTGATTCATTGTTGGCAACATGACAAAAGCGAAGTAAACTGACAAACAGAACGCCTGCCACTACCATCACACAAATAATGAAGCTGCAATTGGCAATCGGTACCTATTTACTGGCGTTATGTGAAGAAGTACCAACCATTCACTTTAAAAACGCTAAGAAGTATCAGCACTCATCTGACACCACGGATCGGATTGTCACATTATGCAGTGAAAAAAGATTATTGCCAACCTAGGATCACCACCGACTCTGCAATCATTGTCTGGAGTATCCACCATCTCACGGATGACATTCGCGGTGCTGATCGGCCGTCTGATATTAAACACTGGGATCTTCTGCCATATCTGGTGCAGTTCCTTGGTCATTTCATTCAGGTGTTAAACTGGAGGGACGGCGGATGTTCATGTGTACAACATGCTGACAACTTAGGGCTGCATTGTTGGTCAATATTCTTCGGAATTAATTAATGTTCATGTGTATAATGAAATTTACGTACCTTGGTGAGCGACACTTTTTCTTTGTTGATGAAAGACCGGAGTGTACAACCTGACTGCATGTTTCTCGCTTGATTCCAGTGCTTACTTTGCTGTGTGGCATGAAAACAGATATGACAGTTAATGAGAATACCATCCTTCCAAAATCACACCTAAGACCCGGGTTCGATTCCCGACATGGGTACAATGTCTGAAGCCCATTTCTGGTGTCCCCTGCCGCAATATTGCAGGAATATTGCTAAAAGCGGCGTAAAACCATACTCACTCACTCCAAAATCACAATATGGTGAGACTCCTGTGTGTTGACAAAACGGGAGACTTTTGAGGTGTAATGACCTTGCAACGTATATCAACAACATTCACCATGACAACTTTGCAACTATTCTTCACGTAATAATGTTCATGAATGAGCAGTGGATCAAACGTTTTCAGATTTATATTCAAATATTGGTATTTGGTGGTTTTATTGGATTTCCACAAATGAACTACAAGGGAGAAAATTCATTGACTTCTTTTGACTGGTTTTGGGTAAATTCCGAGAAGACCTCAACTTTGTGCAGTTGTATTTGCCTTTAAAGATTTGCAAGGGGTTCAGGGAGTACAGACAATACAGCAGAAGTTCTGTGAAACTGGCCATCTGTGTATTCAGGAGGAGGTTAGTATCCAGGGCTGCAAAGAAAAACAACACTACAAGGAAGTTTTCGATCCCCTTGGACTAATAAATTGCTTGAAGAAAGCCTTGAAGTACACTTGTAATAGGAACCATAATCCTTTGCCTTTTCTGAGATAAATGTTGAGCCACTCCGTCATTGTGAACCTGAAAGACAGCTATCATCTCCACTCGTAGTCGAAGCTATCCTCTGTGGCGTAGCAGCCTTCTGAGAGAGTTGTCACTGGACAAGGTGACCATGCTTAAGTTGATGATACAAATTACTTATTTAGACATTGTATTGGTTCCTTAGTGAAGAAATGGAGTACACTTGGAACATTTATTCAGAAATGATATGTAAAGAAATGACATTGGGGAATTAAATATTCATAGTTAAGTCAATGTTTGGTTGTTTGGATGCCCCGTGAGCATCGATGCAGGCACAACATATTCTGATCATACTGGATACCAAACGCAAGATTGTCTCTCTTTGTATCCTTCGCCATTCTTCGCCTGTAAGGACTGCCCAAGCTGATGCAAATTCTGGTAACGCTGAGGAGGTTGCGAACCCTTTGGCCCAGAACATCCCAAAGGTGATAAATTGGTGACCAATCTGCCGGGTCAATGTTGTGACACCTTGCTGTCGTAGACAGTCGACTGCAACACGATCCCTGTGAGGATGTGCCTTGTCATTCTGGAATTCAAAGTTCTGACCTACGAACTGGACAAATTGAATGGCTACTGGGCGTAACATTTGGTCAACATTACGTTGACCTGTCATGTTCCCCTGCACGAGCATCAGATCCGTCGTCTTGTCGTATGTGATGCCAGCCGAGACCATGATGCTGCCACCGGTGTACCTATCGTGCTCTTGGACTGCTGTCGTATGGTACCTCTCCATATCGTCTCCAAACACTTTTTTTGCCATCTGTGCCCAAATGGGCGCATTTTCCTTTGTTATACCCGATCAATGTATCATGTGGTTGTGACGTTTATTGGCACACGCCAGTTGCCAGGCGGCTGTACATGTGCAAGTTTGAACGAGTTTGCTATCCGCGTTCAGTAGCTGTGTCTCGTGCAACAAAGATCGTCATTTCATTATTATAGCTGAGACGACAGGGGTTCCCTTAAATATTGTTCCTCGTATATGTTTTTTGCTGAATCATTAAACTTCATATCTCACATTGTTTTAAAATGTAATAAATTGATGTTCTTTTTATAGAAAGAACTCTTTTGCGTGATATCCTTTGATCTATTCATATACTTTTCACCGAGTTTTTTTTCATAAAATAAATATATATTTACACTTGATTGGAAAACTGGTGAAATTTTATGCTATTGTGTGTATGTATTTATACCGAATTTGTGCCTTAATAGTGCTAACTCTTTTCACTTGATTTTCAGTGATCCATTCATTCCTTTTCACCGATAGTTTATATATATATTTAGAATAAATAAATTTTACACTTGATTGGGAAACTGGTAAAATTTTCTGATATTGTGTGTATGTATGCATATTGAATTTGTGCCTTAATAGTGATACCAGTTGGGCGGTGCATCTAAGTCTTTTCGCGTGATTTTCACTGATCCATTCATATACTTTTCACCGCTAGTTTGCCATTTACTCCCAGTGGAATCTGTTTCAGCAGATAATCAAGCCTCTCTGTCGTTGACGTTTTGTGTTTAAATGTTGTTTATTTTCTTCCTTTGGTGGCTTTGAACACATAATGCATAAAAGTCACATGATAATAAACACCACCACTGCCATCTCAAATAAAATGTCGGTAAGGATCCCTGCTTGTGGAATTTTTGTGTGTTTCTGTGAAGTTATTTGAGGCCAAATAAATGTTATCTATCTTATCTATGAGTGTTAAGCTTTATGTTGTGACACCAAATGTGAAAAGGGTGTGTTAACCTTTTCACTCAAAGATTAATTATTTAAAACAAAAATCTTAAGAAATACATACTGGAACTTTATTTTATAAAAAATTATCTATAGCACAATATGCCGTTTTTTATCATTCTAGACACTTTGAGACTGTTTTGGCATCATAAAGTAAACATCATTTCAAATTAAATGTCCATAATGCGAGGGTTAATTAAGGTGCTGCAAATATATGTATGTAATTGCATGCCATATTCTTATGTTTGTGGCCCGTGAAGATGGGTTCGGGTGGTCAGGCTCGCTGACTTGGTTGATGCATGTCATCGATCCTAATTGCGTGGATCGATGTTCATGATGTCAATCACTGGATTGTCAAGCCTAGATTATTTTCACTCCGCCGTCATATAGCTGGAATATTGCTCAGTGCTGCGTTAATCAACAAACAAACAAAACAAACGTACGGGGCGGTGGGGTAGCTTAGTGGTTAAGGGCACAGTCACACATTCAGGATTTTTACTGCCGTCCTTGATAGGACCATTCCCAATTAAAATTTGTCAAAAGTCTTATCAAGATCCTGTGATCCGTGCCGGGAAATTCACAATCAGATATTGTTCAGGAAGCGTCCCGATTCAGCCATTTCCAGCCGATTCTCCCTTATGCGACCGGACAGTGAACCGACAGACGGTTCGCATTTGGCAAGATCTTGACGCAGTCTGGACTCAATCGGCAAGAGACGGCAATGAACAATTCATGCCCTTTCATCATGCCCGATCCACAGGATACCGTCCAGACAACACATAACATTGTTACGATTTTGATTCGATACAGCAGAATCTGTCACGAAACAATAACGATTGTAATCCGACTAGTCAAAATCGGCTGAGTTTCCAATGTTGCAGGACGCACCATACTGTCGGGAGTGCTTGGCCGACCTCTCTGGACCTTTCCCGATCCGTAAGACTCTGTCACGAACGTATACGACTGCGTTCAGACAATGATAGGACATTCCAGATCATTGAGGATAGTAATCCGGCTTTTCACTTTTCGTGTCATAGCGCTGTCTGATCTCAAAGGGGAGCCATAATCGGCACTGTGTGAACCTGGCCTAAAACGTTCGCTCGTCACGCAGAAGACCTTGGTTCGGGAGCATGGGGACGGGAGCATGGGGACGGGACATGGGGATGAGTTTTCGTTGGGAAAACGTAAGCAAATTTTTAAAAGAAACTGTTTCTTTGTCTCTCACATGTACAAGATTATTTGTACATACGAAATACATACATAATTATGAGAATATTTTTAAAACAAACCTAACTTTAAATAATTACACTGAAAACGTTTATGTTTGTCCCAGACAAATATCGAATGGAGGCAAGGTCTGTTACGGGAAAAGGCGGGAAACTGACAACTTGAATAATTGACGCGCCAGACTACAGGACTGAACGTACAGTATGCTCAGCATTTGGGAGGTAACTCTTACAAGGAAGTATTGTTCAAGGTTATATAAAACTTGCACACTAACAACGTTGCGGGTGTAAAATGGTCACAATATGCACATGCATCCACTGATTGCATGACGCCAAGTGCCGT